AGGAACCAGGATAATGGAAAGGAAACAGGGAGGTAAAGTAAGAGAAATAACCAGAAAGGGAAGAACAGTAGGAAACAGGCCTTAATAAGGGCGATATGGAAAAAAATTGGGTTAGTTTAAGGGAGGGGGGAGGGAAGGGTATACAAGGAACCTAGGGGATAAAAGGAAAGAAGGAGCTCAAGAAAGGTAGGACCATAGGAGAAGGGTATTAAGTGAGAAAAGGGGAAAATGGGGGTACCTTAATTGGGGAAACTATGATGGAGGGGTGAGACAATGTGAGGGATAAATGCCTAGCTAGTTTAAAAACCAGAGGGAACCATATTAGTTCAACAACCTACTGACAAATTATACATAGCAGATAAAGAAATATATTTCTAGGTAAGGTTTATCTGAGAACAATTGGTCTTTGCCCGAGATTTATCTACATGACACACAGTAATTAAAAGTACCAGGCTGGTGGAACTAACCTTCCTGGATGTTTAACAGACATACTTTGAGGCCTATAACAATTTGGTCAGAGGGACATAAAGGACAGTTTTTGCTCCTTGCCCTCCTAAGTTGACTAGTTCCAGGGGAACATGAGCATCTCTCAATATGTCCTGTAATCGTGGTAGGTCACTTGTCCTCTTGGTCAAGGAGGCCGAGGAGACCCCACGAGATGGACCTGAAACAGTGCCCAGTCTACAAAGTGGAGGGTCAACACAGAGGAATCATTTCCTCCATGCTTCCAAGCAAAGCCAACCATAGTCAAGCAGGACCTTTGACTTATCTTCACATAGGCGGAACTGGTAAAAGAAAGGAGCCAGGAGCTCCTCCCAAGCCATGTAACCCCTGAGGAACAGATCCTTAAATGACCTTAAGAGTAAAAATATACTGGTTTATCTGGGCCACCTTTATGGCCTTAAACATCCAAAAGGAAAGTATAACCAAAGATTAAAGGGGCCAATATAATTTTTTAAGAGTCTATATGTATAGCTAAAGGCTACATAACAAGCAACAATGCCAGATAGGCGATACCTTCTTTTGAGTTGTTGGCCAGGGTG